CATGTGAAAGTTGGACAGTGAATAAGGAAGACAGATGCATTTGAGTTACAATGCTGGAGGAGAATATTAAAAGTACCATGGGCTGCCAAAAGACCCAACAGATCTGTTTTGGAAGAAGTGCAGCCAGAATGCTCCTTGGAGGCCAGGATGGCCACACTTCCTCTCTCATACTTTGGACATATTGTTAGGAAGGAGCAGTCACTGGAGAAGGATATAATGTTTAGTAAGGTGGAGGGTCAGAGAAAAAGAGGAAGACACCCCAGTGAGATGGGTTGGCCAAGTGGCAGTATCAATGGGCTCAAGTGTGGCAACAATTATGAGGTTGGCCCAGGACCGAGCAGTGTTTCATTCTGTTGTGTATAGGGTCGCTATGAGTTGGTACTGACTCGATGGCACCTAACAACAACAAATGAGTCATAATCGACCCCACAGTAGTGGGTTTAGTTTTTATGTTGTTGTTCTTAGGAGCATTGAGTTGGTTCAACTCATAGCAACCCTATGCAAATCAGAATGAAACACTGCCTGTCCCTGTGGCACTCTCACAATTGATACATTCTCTGCTACAGTGTCACTCCTCCTTGAGGGTCTTCCTCTTTTTCGTTGGCCCTCCACTTTACCAAGTATGGTGTCCTTCTCCAGGGACTGGTCCCTCCTGATAATATGTGCGAAGTATGAGAGACGAAGTCTTGTCATCCTGTTTTCTAAGAAGCATTCTGGCTGTACTTCTTCCAACACAGATTTATTTGTTCTTCTGACAGTCCATGGTACTTTTAATATTGTCCTCCAACACCATAATTCCAATGCATCAATTCTTCTATGGTCTTCCTTATTCACTGTCCAACTTTCACATGCATATGAGGCTACTGAAAATACCATAGTTTGGATTAGGCAGACCTTAGTCCTCACATTGATCTCTTTGCTCTTTTAACAAGTTAGAGAGACTTTTTGCAGCAAATTTGCCTAACCCGTTTGAATTCTTGACTGCTGATTCTAAGAGTACTTTCTGTGGATCCAAGCAAAATGAAGTCTTTGACAGCTTCAATCTTTTCTCCATTTATCGTGATGTTATTTATTGGTCCAGTTGTGAGGATTTTTGTTTTCTTTACATTGAGGTGCAACCCATACTGAAGAATCTATGATGAAGTCTTTGATCTTCATCATAAGTATTTTAAGTCGTGTTCACTTCTAGTACGTAAGGTTATATTATCTGCATATTGTTAATGAGTCTTTCTTCAATCCTGATGCCACAATCTCCATATAACCTAGCTTCTTGCATTATTTGCTCAGCATACAGATTGAATAAGTATGGTGAAAGGATACAGTCCTGAGCACAATTAAGTGTTCTGGAATACTCATTCTTTGCAATGTTATTCATTCTTTGTCATGATTCACACAGTTGAAAGGCTATAAAGCACAAGTAAGCGTCTTTGTGGTATTCTCTGCTTTAAACCAAGGTCTGTCGGGTATTAGCAGTGCTATCTGTAGTTTCATGTCCTCTTCTGAATCTGGCATGAATTCCTGGCAATTTCCTGTAGATGTACTGCTGCAACAGTTTTAAAATTATCTTTAGCAAAAATTTACTTCCGTGTGATATTAATGATGTTGTTCTATGATTTCCACATTAGGTTGGATCACCTCTTTTTGGAATGGACACAAATATGGATCTCTTCCAATTGGTTAGCCAAGTCAAGTAGCTGTCTTCCAAATTTCTTGGCAAAGATGAGTGAGCACCTCCAGTACTGCATCAGTTTGATGAAAGATTTCAATTTGTATTCTGTTAATTCCTGAAGCCTTGTTTTTCACCATTGCCTTCATTGCAGCTTGGACTTCCTTTCTTGATCATGTGCTACCTCTTATTAGCAAATGAACATAGACCATTTCTTTTTGGTACTTTGTGTATTCCTTTCAACTTTTTTTTTTTTATGCTTTCTGCATCCTTCAATATTTTGTCCATGGAGTCCTTCAATATTGGAAGTCAAGGCTTGAAATATTTCTTCAGCTCTTTCAGCTTGAGAAATGCTGAGCATGTTCTTCCCTTTTGGTTTTCTAACTCCAACTATTGTACATTTCAATCTAATACTTGACTTTGTCATCTTGATCTGCCCATTGAAATTTTTTGTTTGCTCCTTTCTTCCTCATTTCTTCCAGTTGTTTTAGCTTTTTTATACTCAAAAGCAAATTTCAGAGTCTCTTCTGACATCCATTTTTGTCTTTTCTTTCTCTCCTTTTTTAATGACCTTTAACTTTCTTCCTGTGTGATGTTCTTGATGTCATCCCACAACTCTTTTGGTGGTCAGACATTAGTGTCTAATGCATCAAATATATTCTTGAGGTGATCTCTAAATTTAGGTGGTATCTATTTAAGGTTATATTTTGCTATCATGAACTTGTTTTAATTTTCTTCAGCTTTAGCCTGAACTTGCATATGAGCAACTGACTCTGACTTTGGCCATGCTTTGGCTGATTATATTGAACTCCTCTACTGTTTCCACAAATATAGTCAGTATGATTCTTGTGAATGCCATCTGGTAATGTCCTGTATATAGTCATCTTTTATATTGTTTAAAAAAGATATTTGCAATGAACAAGTCATTGGTCTTGCAACACTCTATCATGTGATCCTCAGCATCATTTCTGTCACCAAGACTATATTTTTCAACTACTGATCTTTCCTCTTTGTTTCCAATGTTCACATTCCAATCACCAGTAATTATCAATGCATCTTGATTGTATATTTGATCAATTTCAGACTTTGATAGAATTTTTAAATTTCATCATCACTGGCTTTAGTGGTGGGTGAGTAAAGTTGAACAATGGTCGTATTAACTGGTCTTCCTTGTAGACAGATAGATATTATCCTATCACAGCCAACATTGTACTTCAAGATAGATCTTATGTTCTTTTTGACAATGAATGGAATGGCATTCTTCTTGAGTTTGTCATTGTTTATATATTAAACCACATGATTTTTTTTAATTCAACATGGCTAATATCAGTCCATTTCAGCTCATGAATGCCTAGGATATCCATCTTTATGTATTCCATTTCATTTTTGACAACTTTCCATTTTCCTGGGTTCATGCTGGTATTTTCCTTGTTCTGATGGATGTTTGCAGCTGCTTCACCTCATTTTAAGTTGTGCCCCATCAGCAAATGAAGGTCCTGGAAACTTTGCTCCATTCACATCATTATGGTCAACTCTACTTTGAGGAGGCAGCTCTTTCATAATCATATTTTGAGTGCCTTTCAACTTGAGGAGCTCATCTTTTGGCACTATATCTGACAATGATCAGCTACTTTTCATGTTTCCATCTTCCAGCACTATATCAAACAATGTTCTGCTGATATTCATAAAGTTTTCAGTAGCTAAACATTCAGAAATAATCTGCGTCTCCTAATTCCTAGTCTGTCTGAGTCTTGAAGCTCTGCTGAAACCCATCCACCATGGGTGACCCTGACGGTATTCAAAATACCAGTGGCATAGCTTCCAGCACCACAGCAAACTCAAGCCACCACAGGAGGACAAACTGACAAACAGGTGACGGTTAGTTTTTATACTAAAATATTATTTTTTGTTTATCTTAAATTCTAATTTAACTGGACTCCCTTTACTCATATTTTACCTGGCAGCCTTAATCTGGATGATTTATCTTGGAAATTAGGAATTCAGCCTCTAGACCCACTTGACTAAAAGGGAAATTGAGGCCTGACTTGTGACTGTACTCAAAAGAGCCTGAGCTTGGGAGTCAGGATGGTTTAGAATCAGGGTTCTGTAGTTCAGCAAATGAATTCTCAGTTCTCTCATCAAATGTAAATAATCACATCTGCCTTACAGAGCTGTTGAGAAGATTAATTGATGTGAGGCTCATGAATTTGTCTCGTCTGTGCCCACACAGTAGTGATGATGGCGATTATTGTTATGCTCTTGCTTGGTTCTCTACCCATCAGCCCTCCAGATGTACTACAGGGCAGGGCTCTCAGTTTACTACATAAGGTCAATGCCAGCTTCCACATAAGCCTCTTAATCCTCTGCCAGCCTCCACATAAGCCCTGGATTTGCTGCTTTAGAAGCAAGTCCTTATTAATAGGTATTATCCTAATTCTGCCTCCTACTCTATAAATCAGTAAAAAGAAAAATTAATCAGTGATAGCCTTCAAGTATTGTGCCCTTACTCGCTGCCAATCCTGTGCAGCTTATATTTGACCTTCACAGTAATACAATGAGGTCTGTACCCATTTCACAGTAAGTGAAACTGAGGCTCAGAGCAGCTTAACAACTTGCCTAGGCAAGTTAAATGGCAGCACACCTCCAATACCTGTGCTCTTAATTCCTGGTGATATTATTCTGTTTCTCCTGTTCAGGATGCTCAGGACTACTCAGGGACAACAACCATTTGCTGAATCTCTACTGATGTGAATATCTTTGTTAGTCTGGTAGAAAACCCACAGTCCTACTCTGGGCAACAAAATTGCGAAGGCAGGGGTGGGGCGTGTCTTAAATACCATGTTCTTGGTGATGGGAAGACCTAAACCCACTTCCATAACTGAGAGCTTATATGCACCAGGTGATGCACTAAGTGCTTTATGGCATCATCTCATTTAATCCTCTCAACAACTTTGTGAGATCGCTGTCTATTTCTAGCCTGAGGAAATTGAGATTTAGAGACATTAAATAGATTGATGAACATTACAAGTTAGTAAATGGCAGAGCTAGGACCTGATGATCTATGCAACTCCCTTAAGAGCTAGGGTCTTACTACTACTCATCTCTCCTCAATAGATAGATCTCTCCTTGCTCACTCCCCTCTGACCATCCCAGGGCCCCCAGTCCCTCTGCTGTTCCTTAACGTGGCTTTATGCCCTGGAATCATGGATGCTCAGGGCCAGTTGAAAGATTGGAGACACATATAGTTTGATGTCCAGTCTCAGGGCATGATGACTAAAGGATGCAACCCAGAGCCCAGGTCTCCTGGTCTCCCACACACATTGGCAAAACTCACCACTGGCAGAGGCCAAGATCATGGCTTGAAGCATCTCTGTGTCAAACTGGTTGTTGGGCCAGGTGCCAGTTTCATCACCATTTTGGGAGCTGGGAAGAGAGAAAGATGTAAGCACAGTCCCACAAATCATACCAACACAAGCCCCTCTGCCTTCTCCCAGGGCCACCATATCTAGTACCCCAATTGCTGCCCTACTGCCAAGACCTGCTGTCTCTCAGCAAGGTAGGAGGTAGCTTACAGTCATTCAGAAGCCAGATCCTCAGAAGACAGCTCCCAAGACCAGTTCTCTACTGGTTTGAAATGCATTTATAATGGTCTCTTGCAGGGACAGAGCAGGCATAAATGGCAACTTGCCCTCTGTCATAGATTGAATTGTGTCCCTCCCCACCCAAAACAGGTGTCAACTTGATTGGACTATGATTCTCAGTGATTTGGCAGTTGTGTAATGATATAATTTGGCATTTATGCAATGATGTAATCATTTCCCATGATGTGATTAACCAGCCAATCAGTTGTAAGGGGTTGGATTGGGATGCAACAAACACTCTTACACAAGACACAGTCCTGATTTGATGTAATGAAAGTTTCCCTGGGGTGTGGTTGGCATCATCTTATATCTTGTAAGAAACAAAAGGAGAGATAGGTAAGCAGAGATCAGCAGGATCTCAGTACCACCAAGAAAGAAAAAGCCCAGAGTGGACCGTATCCTTTGGAATTGGTGTCCCTCTCTGAGCTGAGAACCTCCTAGACCCAGGGGAAGAATACTGCCAAGACGCATGGAGATCTCCAAGGAATATTAGCCCATAAATGTTGAAAAGAGACAAGGACCTTTTCAGAGCCTACAGAGAGAGAAAGACTCCTTAGATCTAGTGCCCTGAATTCAGACGTCTAGCCTCTTAAATTGTGAGAGAATGGATTTATGTTTGTTAAAGCTATCCACTCATGGTATTTCTGTTATATCAGCACTAGAATATGAAACCACCCTCCATGAGAGCAACAAGGAAGATTAGGCCCTCTTGCAATGACAGTGAAGGTAAGAAATGAGAAATGGGAGAGATTGCCCCAGAGCTAGTGAAAGGTGTGGGAACCTAGGGAGGACATAGGAGGCCCCAGGAGACCCTGAGGCAGTAAGAGAGAGACTTCTAACATTCAGATATGATCGCTTCAGTAACTTCTAAGCCCCCAGGATAAAACCCATGGGCCTTAAGAACCTACTCCTCCCAATTTATAAGAACATCCCTAACACTTTATGCTTAAACCTTTAAACCTCCTTTCGGTAACTCCACAAACCATTCTTTTGCCACAGATTCTGGGCAGATGCCATTCTCAAGAATATCAGTTCCCTGGTAATGTGAACTTTGCCCCGGTAATATGAACATATTCTATCAGAAGGGATCCCTAAACCCACCCAGGATGGGTCAGGTGCCTACTAGCACTCCAACCCCAGTGACTATCGTATCCCAAGGTATACTGGCCACCACGGTGTCACTGCTATTGTCCCTGCCTGCTCCTCCATTAGATGGGGCAGATACTGTGGAGCACCTAGCACATACCTTGCATCTGGAATGAATCAAGACCTTTCTTTACCTCTGTTGTTGTTGTTGTTAAGTGCCATCGAGTCGATTCCGACCCATAGCGACCCTGTACAGAGTTTCCAAGGCTGTAATTCTTTACCTCTAAGTACTGAATAAATGTGAAGTGACTCGAAATTTTAAAACAAACAAAAACAATGAAATTGTAGAATAACATTAAGGAATTCCAGCCCAATTTGGATTTTTCTATAGTGACTATTTCAATGTCTTTTTGGAAATCAAAAGGATCAAATTATTTTAGTTTTTGTGTTTGTTTGGTTTTCTTGGTGGGAGGAAGCACCCCTGGCAAATCTGTCTATAAGGTAATCCAGCACAGTTTGGCTCACAGAAATTCCCAATACATGCTTGTTTCCTGGATGAATGGAAACAGGCCAGCGAAGAGTTAGGCAAGAAAAGAATTTGGTATCAGGGGAGAATATATTTTGTTATGGTGGTTGAACACAACCAAGACTTTGACAATTTTCCAAGGTCTGCCTTGCTTATGGCTTCTGTAACCTGGGGTTCCCCATCCACATGTAGGTGGTGGTGGTGATGGTGGTGGTAGTGGTGGTGTGCCATCAAGTTGCTTCTGATTCATACTGTAGGGTATAGGATTTCTGAGACTGTAAATCTTTGAGGTATCAGAAAACCTCATCTTCCTTCACAGAGTGGATGGTAGATTCAAACTTCTGACTTTGTGGTTAGCAGCCCAAAATGTATACTGAGTCTAAGGCTCAGAACAGAGCCCACAGCTGCTATATACCCTCTCTACTCAGCCACAGAAAACATAAAGTCAAGGGTGAAGGGAGGGAAGGCAGAAATCTTATCTCTCCTTCCCCAAAGTGGGAAGAGCTGGAATTCTGTGTGCATTTATTCAACAAATATTTATTGAGCCTTTACTGTGTACTAGACACTGTACTAGGCACCAGAGTTACATCTGTAAACATGGCAGAAATGTCTGTATGTATGATGTTCCCAGTATGATGAGAGGGTGATACTAATTATTTTGCAATTGTGACAAGTGCCATGAAAGCCAAGAGCAAAGGATAAAAGGGAGTCTGATGGAGTGAGAATTTTTGTTGTCATTGTTAAGTACCCTCAAGTTGATTCCAGTAAGTTAGTTTTGAATATTAAGGATCCCCGTATAGGGTTTCCAAGGCTATAAATCTTTGAGGGAGCAAAGAGTCTCATCTTGTCCAGGGAAGTGTCTGGTACGCTCTAACCACAACCTTGTAGTTCACAGTCCAGTGCTTAGCCTACAGAGCTACCGCACTCTGTAGGAAAAGACAACAAATTTATGTCTGAAGAAATGACCCACATGAGTTGCAGAAGAATGCCAGTTAAAACAAACAAAAGATAGGAAGAATTCTAGAAAACCACCACTTTGTAAGCACTGTTTAAAACAATTTCAGGCAGGGATCATCAGTGAATCCTAAAATACTAAAATCTGGTGAGAGGTTGCCATAGTCTCCAACTATCACCCACAGATTACACATTAATCACAAATCTTAAAGAATATCTTTATAATGGAGACATGTGGGAACACCACTTTAAACAAGTGAACACACTCAGCATCTCTGGTCACACCCATCACACCAGAAGACTGAGTAACTTGAAAATAACCAGAAGAAAATAGCCAGCAAGTATAGATAGCTGGATGTTTTCCAAAACAATTGGCCTACACTCTTTTAATACATCTGTCAGGAGAAACATTAACAACAACAATAACAAAAATGTAGGGAGGCTGATCTAGATTTAAAGAGATAACAGAGACATGACAATCAAATGCAACTCATGCTCCTTGATTGAATCTTGGATTTAAACAAACAAACAAACAGGTATAAAAAGGACATTGGAGGACATTTGTTAAAATCTGCATATTATTGTATCAATGCTATGTTCCTAAATTCTTTTGTGTTAATATAGGAGAATGTTCTTGCTCTTAGGAGATATATTCTGAAATATTTCAAATGCTATGATATCTCCAATTTACTTTCAAATGGTTCAGAAAAAAAGACGTGTGTGTGTGGAAAAGAAAAGAGAAAACAAATGTGCAAAATATTAACTGTTGGTGAGTCTAATCTAAGTAAATAGGATATTTGAGTATTTGTCATACACTATTCTTTTTGATAGGTTTTAAATATTTCAAAACAAAAAGTTGAGGTAAAATTAAGTTACTCAGTTACAGGAGAGAACTTTCCAGGCAGAGGGAATAACATGCCCTAAACCTTTGAGGTCAGAGGGAGACTGGTGAATTCAAAGGGTAAGACAAAGTCAATGTGACGACAACAGAGGAGGTGGTATCAGGGACTGGAACTGCAGAGTGGACACTGAAGATTTTGGTTTCATCCTAAGAGCACTGGGAAGCCACTGAAGGCTTTAAAAGGGGTTGCCTCACTGAACTGTACATGTAAAAATTGTTGAATTGGTACATCATCTGCTATGTATAGTCTCAACAAGAACAACAAAAATATTTTTAGAGGGAGATGGTTATGATTGGGTATGAATGTTTAAAGACACCCTTGCTCCTGTGTGAAGAAAGGACCAAGGGTTCAGGTACCTCTGGGAGGACAGGAGCCCAATGATAGTTCTCAGCCACCTCTATCTCCCTGGAAACCTGAGAGTCTTGACTTTTAGGGTGCAGGGCCTAGGAAGATAGGGGATTAAATGGGGAGGGCAGGCAAGGGGGGCAGTAAGTAGAGATGAGAGCTGTGGGGTAGACAACAGGGGTTAGACACCACAGGTTCAAAAGACGTAGCTGTGGAGGTGTGGAGTAATATTAAGGGAATACATATAAGGGTGGGCTTGGAATGATAATCGGCTGGAGGCTAGAGGCCAAGGAGGTGGGCAGACTGCCAGTCCTTTGAAGGGGAAGAGACTTCATTTTTAAGCATTTACTGAGAGCTTTCTGTTCTCTGGGCACTGGGCTGACTCAATTATATACATCAACTATTATTTCAGCCTCATAACAAACCTGCAGGTAAGGTCTATGATTATCTGTTTTCCCCAACAGGGGCTCAGAGAAATAAAGAAATTTTCCTAAAGTCACATGGCTGGTAACTGGTGTGACTCCAAAGTCAAAGTCCATGACACCATATTGGGCTTCAGCAAGGAGACCCTATAGCCTCACCAGCAGGTGTAGGGACTCTTCTAGAATTGGGAGAACAGTGAGAAGCAGAAGTGAAAGAGATGAACTACATTTAACTGACTGTTTTCCAAGCATTCACTATGTGCCAGTCCTTTTGACAGTTCCCAGGACTTAAGAGATGATAGGCACAGTTCTTACCCTATTTGACCGGATGTGTGTGTGTGTATGTGTGTGTGTGTGCTTGTACGGCAGCATCCCATAGTCTGGGATATGATAAAAGTCTCAAATAAGTGAAAAATCTGGGACAGTTTTCTCTAATGAGAAATTGGCTAGAGTTGTGTTAATATGCAAGTACAAGTAAGCACTAGACTGCTAACTGCAAGGTCTACAGTTCAAGACCAACTGCTCTCAGAAGTCTTACACAGCACAGAGCCACTATGAATTAGAAACAACTGGAAGTCACACAACAACACTGCTTTTTAATGTAGTAAAAGTCTATCAATATTTCACTAACACATATCTACATATCCATATTTGAACTGCAAGGTTGGCGGTTCAAGCTCACCAGCTGCTTCTCGGAAACCCTACACAGGGTCACTATGGGTTGGGATCAGCTCGACGGCTCTTAACAACAACAGCATGTAACAATTATATGATTTTTTAAAAATTACTGACCTAGGGAAATTCTCACGATCTATTGCAGAGAAAAAAGTAGGCTAAAATATTGTTGTACTGTATGACCTCAATTACTGCTAAAAAGTAAAACTGGTAAGAAATACACCAACTATAAAAGTTCTTGACATTCTAAGTGTGAAAAGCAAGCTTCTGAACAATCAGGTGAATCCGAGTTTTGAAAGGATATAGAAGTCTGTGCTTGCTCTCTGAGTACACAATGAAAAAATTTTAGAAAGAGACCCATGAAAATGTAAATGGTTCAATGAATAAATTGCAAAGAAATGAAAGGTGGAAGGAAACTTTTATATTAAAAGGGTCTAAGACACAAGAAGATATCACCCCAAAATAAAATATGGATCTTAATTTGATTACACGTGCAAACAAATTAACTATAAAAATTTTATTTGTGTGAGTGAAAGAGAAAGGATGAGAGAATGAATTAGGAAAACTGAGAACACAGATACTAGGAAAGTTATTAATATTATTTTTAGTGCTTACATATCTAAAAAAGAGAAGTATTTTTAAAGATAAAAAGTAAAGATCCAGATGAAATGATATGCTATCTGGATTTGCTTCAAAATCATTCAAGGAGGGATAAAAGTAGGAATATAAATGGAACTAAATAGAGAAATGTTCGAAGGTGGATAATTGGATCACAAAGGCTCATCATATAATTTTCTCTATTTTTGTACGTATTTGAAATTTTCCAACTTAAAAAAATGTTAGTTGTGATTCTTCCTAGATTGGAAATTATGAGTAATTTTTCCTTTTAAAATGTTCTTCTATTTCTCACATTTCTATAATGAGGATATGTTATTTTATAAGGAGAAAAAGATTACACTGCTATTTGTTTGTTAAATGATTCTGTCCAAACTGAAGGGGAGCAGAGATAATGTCTCAGAAGAAGGGGAATGGAAGGGGACCCGGAGCTGGGGAATGGTTGTCAAGCTGTGAAAGAAAAACATGGTAGCGGCCTGGGGAAGTCAAATGGAGACTTCTTTCTGGGTGCAGAGGCTGAGAACAGCTGCAGAACAGGTCTGAAATACAGTCTGAGAAGGGAGAACTGGCTTGCTGGGCTCAGAGCTTAGAACAGCAGCTGTTGGGATCAGAAGCCAAAAGAATGATCTGAAAAGGATGGTGGGTGGAGAAAGAACACCTGGCAAGCAGAGATTTATTGACACTTTAAAAGTTGTCTCTGATATCTAGGCAGTATAAGCCAGTGCTGGCTTGCAGTTAGACCAGGTTTAGCAGTAACTCTCCTCTGAAGCTGGTGGGTTTAGACTGGGCTGAACTGGGCAAGATTGATGGAGGGTAGGGGTGGGAAGGGCTAGAGTGAATTGGAGAGCTAAATTAAATTAGAGATTTTTCCTTTCTTCATCCCCTTTTCTCCAATTTACTCATCTTAATGACAGCAAAGAAAGCAACTTTCTGTCATTCTGTTGATCCCAAGAGGCCTCACCACAAAGTCTTTGCATTTGCTCTTCCTCCACCTGGAATGTTCCTTCCTCTTCCTCACCTTGTTAATTCCTACTTATCCTTCAGATCTCAGCACAATTTCATTCCCTCTGCTCCTCACCCCCTTATTTTTATGCTTTAGCTAAAACCTACGCCATTTAATTGTCCTTGGCACTGGATGCAGATACCAGTCCTGACTCTCAAATCCCTACTACTACTACTCTTTGTAGCACTTACAGTAGTGGCAAGCTTACATTGATTTTTGTAATGAATTCATTATTATTTGCCTTCCTCAATATACCATAAACTCCTAGAGGTCAGGAACCATGTCTGTATATGTTCCCCATCACACCTAATAACTAACTGTTGAGTGAAGAAGCGAGGAAAATTGTGGTAGTGTGTTCCGGATATTTCTTTTATTTGGGCACTAAGGAGCTACATTTAAAATGTCTGTTGCATCCCTTTCAAGTTAATTGAGCTCCTGAACCTTTTTTTTTTCTATTTTTCTAAGAACTACCACTTGTATTCCAGGTCACCAAGTCTCTTATTTAATAAAAAGATACCTAAGATCAGAGAGGGCAGCAGAGACAATTGGCAGGCTTCCAGTGGATTTTGCTCCAGGGTCAGTGTGTGGCCTGGGATGGAAATGGGTAAAGGAAAGACAAACTACTCAGAATTTCTTATTATTTTTCAAGTCCTAATTCAAATGTCAACGCCACCAAGAAGCCTTCATTGATCCCTCTCTACTTTTGTGAATTAAACTCACATTACCCTCTTTTTTTTCTCAGTACTACTATGATCTGTAACTAGACATTTTAAAAGTTAGGCTAGTTGTTAATTATCTGTCTTCCCTGTTGACCTGGAAGCCCGTAAGTTCAAGGATTGAGCTCGTTTGTTCACTCTTATAACACCAGTGTCTAATACAGGACATTGTAGATGCCCAATAAATATTTGTTGAATGAATGAGTACATAAATGCCTTAATGGATAACCTATGGAAGGCTGGAAGGTTAGCAGGAGAAGAAGGGAAAGCTGAAGTCAAGTCAGGGGCAAGGACAGCCAAGGCTTCTTGTTTGCTGCCTTCTAGGATTTCCAGGAGTCCTGGTGTGGCACTGTGGGTTAGTGTGCTAGACTGCAAGGTCAGCAGTTCAAGCTCACCAGTCACTCCTTGAAAACCCAATACAGGGTTGCTATGAGTCAGAATTAACTCGAAGGCATTTCACAACAACAACAAGGGGATTTCTGGTGATTCCTGATGTGGCACTATGCTGGACCACAAAGTCAGTTTGAGTCACCAGCCACTCCTTGAAAACCCTACACACAACAGACTCGATGGCACTTAACAACAACAACAAGGAACTTTCTGGAGTTCTGGTGTGTGGCACTGTAGGCTAAGCACTGGATGTAAGGTCAGTTTGAGTCTCAAGGTTGGTAGTTCGAACTCACTAGCTGCTCCTCAGAAATCTGATACAGGGTGGCTATGAGTCAGAACTGACTTGATGGCATTTAACAATGGCAACTACAGGGGTTTTCTAGGCAGTGTTTTAAGATCCGTATGCCAGGGATACAACTGTGCAAACTCAGGAGCTGGAATCTCCACTATTACCAAGGATTCTTGTGTTCTTGAGGCATTGGGGGTGTGGCTATTGGAGGCAAGCGGGTACAGAAGAAGCTCAGAAGCTCAGCATCTGCAGTCTGCAGCATCTGGAGAAATGTGGGCAGCAAGTGTCCAACCAGCCACCGAGGAGGCAAGAGAAGGCGGTCCAAGCCCCCCTGCTCTTCCTCTCTCTCCCTGGGATCCTGGGACTCCTCCAGGCTCCCGACTTCTAACTGGGAGGCCTGGCTAAGAGCCCACCCCACTCTAACCAACTGAAGGTTTTTCCGGCTGAAGTTTCCCTTGCCCCCTCCCCCACCCACAGGGGGTTCCTGTCTCGGCAGGAATTCATACCAGATTGCAGTGAGCAGCTGGAGCAGTGTGGATGGGAGGGTGTGTGGCAACATCAAAGGCTCAGTGTGTGAGAGGCAGGAGGCGGGAGAGAGCATGGGGACACTTGTGTGTGCTGGCTGTCTCATGAGTACAAAGAAATGGTAGACAGAGATGGAGACACAGAGTAAAAGACAAGGAAGAGATAGAAGAGCGAGAAACAGAGAGAGATTCAGAAACAGAGTAAGACAGATATACAGAGAAAGAGGTACAGCTTAAAAAAAAAGAAATAGAGAAATAGAACAGACAGAAAAAGCAGAAATAGTGAGATGAAGAAATGAAAAGACTAGAAATGGGAGAAAACAGGATACTGGGAAAAGATGAAAACAGAGACAGAAAGACCAAAGATGGAGATAGCCACAGAGCAAGAGAAAAGGAAGAACAGAGACTGAAACTAAGGAAGAGTCACATTCATTCATTCATTTATTGAGCACCTGAGCCATCCAGGCACAATGCATGGCACAGATCAACGAACAGACACAAATAGTAGGGACTGAGATGCTGCAGTAAAGATGGAAACTGAGATAGAAACCCAGAAAGAGAAATGCAGACTAAGTTAGAGACCGTGGAAGGACAAAGAGATTAGAGAGTGGCAGAGACAAAAGGCCTTCAGGTAGGGGAAGGCAGGACGAATGGGGGCCAAAAGGCAGTCTCACTCTTGCCTCCCGAGGGCAGCTCTCCTTCCTTAGCCCCACCACGAACTTTGTTGTTTCTGTGTTCCCCAGCTGTCTGATATCCCTCCCTTCTGCCTCCTCTCTTCTTTTAAGACTCTGACAGTCCCCTCTTGCTCCTCCTCCTATCCTGAGTTTCTTAGCCTGAACCCCAAGTCAGGATGGAGCCCAGTCCAGCCTAGAAGAGGGGGCATGGGTAGTCAATGGGTATAAAAGAGCCTCTTCTCCACCCCAAGGCTAGCTTAAGACCATCCTTGAATCCCAAGTCCCCAGGAGATAGGAAAATGTGTGCAGAGGGGGTAAAGGGGTGAGTGTGTTAACTGAGTTTCCGAACTAGGGTAGATGCCTCTTTCTTCTGGGGTCTGTGTGCCAGCTGCAAATACATCAAAACCTCCCCCAAATCTCAAACTGCAAGGCTAAGCCATTTGTAGCAAATGCTGAGCCCTCCCCCCATCTCCGCCCACGTCATCACTGAGAAAATGCCGCAGAGAAGAGGGTGGGCTGGAGTGTCGGTCACCTACCCGCTGGTGCCAGGTCTCTGGGCCTGTGAGAAACGCCAGTCCGTGTTGGGCGGGGCTTGCTGTGGAAAAAACAGAGGGAAAGGAGCTGAGTACCCAGGAGGAGCCATAATGTCGCCGAGTCCCTGAAGATGGGCCAGGGGGTAGTGGGCACAGAGAAGCTCCAGGACTGGGAAGAAAATGGGGTAGGGGAGGAGTAAACACACCTCTAAACACCCCAGGTCTCAGAGACCTGGGTTACCAAGAACAAAGGGATAAAATAACATTTTATGCGACCATAGTGAGCAGATTAGAACATGTGAGCAGAGATTCAAGGGTTGAGAAGTAGCTTCTGTGGGAGTAGGGATATAGAGAAGGCCCCAGAAGTGACAGAGGAAGCTTTTAGATGAGAATTCCACCAGGCCTAGAATGAATTTATTCAGTTCCTCAGCAGGAAACAAAGCATCCTCTGCAGCAAGATGGCTGCTGCTCCCGGTAACCCTTTTGGTGCCAGGTTGTGCAGTTACACATTCAGAGGGACACCCCTTTCAAGCCCTTGACCCTCAAGAACCCCTTCCCACAGCTAAATACATTATTAATTTAGGAGTCATGCCAGACTGGGTCTTTGCAGGGCATTCAAGACCCAGGACACCTCTCACCCACAGAACTCTGTGCCAGACAATGGCCTTTGATTAAGGAGGAGAGAACAAGGCTGTTCTGTCTGGAACAGAGAAAAAGGTTTGGATGGAGCCCAGCAGGGATCAAGCTCCCACAGCCTCCAAGCAGAGCCACATTAGTCTCTAGAGCTCCCAGGGAGCCGATCAAGAGCCATGTCCCACCTGACTGAAGGTATGCCACTCTACAGCTTCACTTCCGAATCCTCTTGCACACGTTCTGACGGAGCACTCTCAGAGTTATCTCCTCACTGGTTCTGGGGTGTGCTGGTAATTAATTCTCATACTCATTCCCAGGAGCCAAAAGGGAAGTGTGAGCCTCTCAGGTTACACCCAGGAGAAGGAAAACCCAGGGCTGCCAAATGACTCACCCTAAGGTTCACAGGTGACAGCGATGGGAGCAGAGCCCAGAAATCAGCAACCCAAGGGCAGCAGGCCTCACTGCCACCGCTCAAGGTCTGCTGTGGATGACCAGCCCTTAGCCACTGTATTCTTAGACACAGCACCATCTCCACAGAGATGATAGATTGGAGGAAGGAGCCCGGCAAGATGCACAACCTAGATCCATAAGGACGGCGGGTCCACATTTATTCAGTGAGGTCTGCTCTGAGAAGAGGAGCCCAAGAAGGCCTTTCTCCACATGTCTGGCTCTTAAAGCAAAAGAATCCACCTTTGCCTCATCCAAGCAAATGCAAATCCATCCCTCTTGTCCTCCTATTTTACAATTTCCAAGTGCCAAGCAACTGACTGTACAGATTCTGGAGTTAGACAGACCTGGGTTAGACTCTTTCCTCAATCACTTATTCTGTAAACTTGAGTAAATCACGTAAGCACTGTGAAACTCAGTTATAAGACGGGGATATTAATACCTAATCAAAAACCTTGTTAGGGAGAGCAAATAAGAAAGATGTGGTTCTCACAGGTGTGTGGCGAATCTCTCAGCCAGCTATTTTAATTACCTGGGAGTGCTTTTTTCCAAAATATAATTATGATTCTATAGGGTCAGAGTAGGGCATGTTGTTGTTGTTAAGTGCTGACCCATTGCGACCCTGTATAGAGTTTCTGAGGAGCAGCTGGTGCAGCGGTTCAAACCAACTTTGCAGTTTAACACATTAACCCACAGCGCCACACCAGGACTCCCGAGTAGGGCATAAATATACAAAAGTTCCCAGGGTTGTGGGAACGTGTGCTTTTTACTAATATAGTTTCTCCACATATGAGGGCACCTGGCATCTGGCAGAGGCTGAGCTCTGCCATCCACTAGAGGAGAAAGAACTTGCTGGAGTCACTTCCAAAACCATGACCTTAGATTGCTGGGTACATTGTGGTCACGACGGAGCCAAAATCCTATCTTAGAGCATTCAGAACTCGGGTGTTTCAGGATCCCACTTGCCGAGAAAGGAAGAGGGCTGATAGTGCCACGGGGGGTCCCAATGCCAGCTCACTTGATTCAGGTCTGGCCTTGATGTCCCGCGGGCGGCAGGGCGGTTCAGCTTGCGCCTGCCTTGCGGTTTCTAAGCTGGAGAAGTCACCCCCTTCCCGCAAGAAGCCCTAAACCCAGCTAAATCTGCGGGTCATGGAGTGGCACCCGCCCCCGCGCCTAGGGCACCCACAGTTTTTCCCGCGCTCCAGGTGCGGCCAGCCGGCTCCGAAGCAACCAGTCCAGCCCGGGGCAGGGGTGATGGGATCACGAATCCTGGGTCCTTGCGGGGACTGGAACAGCCATGATCTAGGATCCTTAGGAGGGTGAGTACTGAGGCCGGCAGTGGGGTGAAACGGGGGACAGCCCGTGTGAACCTGGCGGAGGGCGGCTGGCAGTGTGCGTGCAAACCTAGTGCGAGGGATGTATGTGACTGGGTATGTGTGAAAGACGCGTAATTTACGAGTGTCAGTCGGTGTGCAGGGCGTGCCCTCGGCGTGTGAGCAGATGACAGTGAAGTCACAGTTCACTGTGGGAACAAAAAGTAGACCCCTGTGGGGCTGTCTGCAAGTGCTGATCTGTGACTGCCTCTAACCCTTGACCCCAGCACCCGGTGGAAATCGCCAGAAAGTCACCGCAAGCTCTGGCTGGGTAGCGGCCTGTATACAACCTGCCTTCCCAGCGCCCCAGCTTTCTGAGTGTGAAGAGGGGCCTGTCCCTCCTCTGTTCCCCACAATCAGCACCACTTCAGGGCTCTCAGTGCCACATCCCTGCCTCGGCCACTCCTCTGGTTCCACACCAACAGTCCGAATGGCCCCCCCGAGTAGGGGCCTGGGGGCACAGCTGGGGGGTCAGGCCCACCAGAGAAGAGTGGAGACAAGTTCAAAGTCCCCTATGTGGGTAAGGCCGCTTCTCCAACGCCGCCCCCAAGGGTCGCGCGGGGTGGCGCCGAGCCCCTCACCTGGCTCCGCTCCAGCAGGGTATTAGAGCGGGACCGGAAGGCATCAGGCTCCAGAGCCAGAGCTGAGGGCTGCTGGACGCTGACGGGCCTTAGAAAGGTGAAGTCACTGCCATCCGAGGCTGGCGAAAAGCACGTCCTGTAGCAATGGCTCTGCGAGTCTGTGGGCCGCAGCGTCACCTCCATGTACTTGAGAGTGCCATCTGAGCTCACCTGCAGGTTGGGGCTGGATTGCTTATAGAAGTCCGGGGAGGGCGAGTCTTGGCGCCCGCAGCACTGCCCCCCTCCCCCCTCCCCATCTGCGTTCCCGCAAAGGCATTTAGCTGACAGAAAGGTGAAGGTGACTAAGGAGAGGAGACTGATGGCCGCTAAGGCCACAATGAGGTAAAGGGTAAGGTCTGAACGTTCAGGTGGGTTTATGAGAAAGTCTCTGGATTTGGGCGTTTCCTCGGGGTCCTCATCCTCCAAAGTCAGCAGCACTGTGGCTGTAGAGGAAAGTGAAGGATCTCCATTGTCCCTTACCAGGACCACCACCTGCTGGATGTCAGAGTCATCCTCCAGCAAGGCCCGGGCTGTGCGCACCTCACCAGTGTGTGCAGACACAAGGAACAGTCCTGGGGCTGTGGACTGTGGCAACAGTGAATAGGAGAGCCATGCATTGTGACCTGCATCAGCATCCACGGCTGTCACCTTGGTGACCAAGGAACCAGGAGGGGCAGATCGAGGGAGACGCTGAGGGGCAGAAAGTTCACGACCAGGAGGTGGGTGCAGCACAGCTGGGGCATTATCATTCTGGTCCAGAACAAACACATGCAGAGATGTATTGGCGAGCAGTGGGGGAGAACCAGAGTCTCGAACCCCCACCACAATCTGCAGCATCTGCAGCAGTTCATAGTCAAAGGTATGCTGGGCAAAGATCCGCCCATCCTCAGGGTTGACATACACAAAGGAGGAGGTCGGGGTTCCCTGAATCTGACTGCCTATGATGAAGTAGGTGAGGCGGGCATTATCTCCAGTGTCTGGGTCCAAGGCAGCCACAGTGCAGAGAAGGGAGCCTGGGGGCTGGTTTTCTGGGATATAAGCAGTGTAGAGTTGCTGGGTGAAGTGAGGTGCATTGTCATTAATGTCTGAAATGTTGAGTCTGATGGTAAGATGTGTGTGCTGGGGAGGTGAGCCAGCATCACTGGCCCTCAGTTCGATGATATAGTGTGAGGTGGCCTCTCGGTCCAACGGCTGGCTGGTTAGCAGTGAGTAGTGGTTCTCAGAAGGCTTAATCTGAAATGGCAGGTCCGGAGAGATATCAAGGCTCACTTCACCATTTCTACCTGAGTCTCGGTCCCGCACGTTAAACAACCCCACTACTGTGCCTACGGATGTGCTCTCCAGGACAGGGTTGACCAAGGAGGCCAGTAGCACCTCTGGGGCATTGTCATTGGCATCCCCCACATCCACTTGAATCACACAGTGGCCCTCCATGGCTGGCTGTCCCTGGTCACGAGCTCTTGCATGAATTTCATAGAAACTTGAGTCCTCAAAGTCTATGGGACCCAACACATGGATTGTTCCACTGCTAGCGTCTAGGCCAAAGAGATTCCGAACTGCCTCCGATGTGTGATCCCCAAAAGAATAGTCTAGTTGGCCATTGGTACCCTCATCTGGATCAGTGGCATTGAGGCAGAGCAGCAGTGTACCTATTGGTGCGTTCTCTGGGAGTCCCACTCGCAGAACTGAGGACTGGAAGGTTGGAGCATTGTCATTGACATCCAGCACAATGACAGAGATAAGGGTGGTCCCTGAGCGGGCTGGGGTGCCCCCATCCACAGCAGTGAGCACCAACTGATGTCTTGCTTGGGTTTCACGGTCCAGCTGCTGCTCTAGCACCAGCTCTGGGAATAGCTTCCCATCTTTTAGGGTCTTCACGTTCAGAGAGAAGTGGCCGTTGGGGCTTAGAGTGTAGAAGCTCACAGTATTGGTGCCCACGTCTGGATCCTGGGCACTATCCAGTGGGAATCGAGCCCCAGGGGCTGCTGATTCTGAGATGCGCATCTCTCGTTTAGGGGTGGCAAAGCTAGGAGAGTTGTCATTGAGATCCAGGATCTCTACCTCTACTCGGATTAGTTCCAGGGGGTGTTCAGTCACCACCTGCGCTGGCAGCAAGCAGCTGGTGCTGGCTCCACACAGGCTCTCGCGGTCAATCTTTTGATTCACTGCCAGAGCACCACTCACCAAGCTCAGGGAAAAATAGCGCCCGTTCTCCTCAGAGCCCAACCGCAGTCGGCGGCTGGACAGATCTGTCACCTTTAAGCCCAGATCCTGAGCAACATTCCCCACCAGCGTCCCCGGCTCAGCCTCCTCCACCACTGAATAACGAAGCTGCCCAGACACCCAGCCCCAGCAGCACAAGGACAACATGCACAGCACTTGCCATTTCCCAGGGAGCTGTGGGGGTGTCTTGGGCCCCATGACCCAGAAGTCCCTTCCTGGACAGTGACTCTAGGCTGTCCTGTCTCCAAGGTAGACCCAGGGCTTGTAATGGCAGCAACTGAAATCTCTTATGTCTTCTTCCAGCCTCTTAAAAACTGCTCGGAGGTCTGTCTGCCTACAGCAGTTCTTCTTAGTCACCAAATGGCGGGGGTGGGTGAACAGGGAGGGGAATTGAATTTGAGCTGGGGAGCTGGGGGAGGAGAGGCGGGCAGGAAGAGCAGATCCCCCACCTCGGCTCTGAGTCTGATTGGCCAAAAAGTCTGTCTGCTCTCAACCAATTATAAAGTCTTCTCAGTCCTGGAAAGCTTAGGAACAGGCACTGGAAGTTTGTGTCACAGAAGCCTCCCCACTCATTTCGTGCTGCAGGTTGATTCAGCCACCTTGGCAGCAAAGTTTGACAGCTCAGATGGTGCTCAACAGGGAAGACAAAGTGGTACAAAACTCCTCAGTGTTCTGTCCCAGAAACTTCCTGCATGACTTCAGAAGCTTCCACTACTTTGCTTGAACCAACAAAGTATGTCCTTCTAGGAGAAGCAAAACCCTTATGTTCTCCCTCCCTCTCCACGTCCTGTCCAATGGTGGGTGCTAGGGTAAGAGAAGATTTCTTAGGATCCCAAAAAGTCTTGCTTTGACTCCAGCCATGCTTTTGAGGAAAAACAGTATCAGCTGATGGCTATAGGACTCAGTTTTTCTGAGCTCCTGGATGTGTGTTGTGGAATGAGCATCACAATTTACAGGTAGGGGATGATCCAGGTCACCCATGAGGGTGGCCAAAGGCTAAGTATGATCTCTAGGCATTATGATTTCACCAATTTATGAGCATTATGCAAAAAAAACCAAAAATCCAAAAACCAGAGTGGCTGTCTCTATGAATTCCTCAGCCTTCATCAGTTTTCTGACATGAAGTGATTTCACTTACTGCTTTGTTTTTAAAGAGTTAATTCCCACTCATCCCAAATCTACTGCATCTGGGAGTCTTGAAGACCTGGACCAATAGATCTCTGTTGCCACATCAACCAATACCTCCCTACTCCCTTGATTCTCTCTTCTGTGCTCTCTACTGTATGTCAGGCAGAGTTCCCTTAATAGTGGGTTGAAGAATGCTAGATATTATGGTGGTGGTAGTGTGCCATGGAGTCGGATCTGACTCATAGCGACCCTGCATAGGGTTTTAGAGGCTTTATGGGAGCAGAAAGCCTCATCTTTCTCCTGCGGAATGGCTGGTAGTTTCGAATTGCTGATCTTGGGGTTAGGAGCCTGACTTGTAATTACAGAGTGAAAAATCTTAGTTCCCCTCAATCCATTGGGAAATGGCAACCTGAAGGCAAGGTACTCCAGAACCTGCCCCCTCCCCATCCCACCCCCAGTTCATATGAAAAGCAAAGAAGGCAGCCATCTTGGTTTAGGTGATTGCCCAATGCAGCATAGCCTTGTGCATGAGAGCTTCCCATGTGCCCACGTGCCAGCAGCATGCTTCTACAATAACCTGACTCTTAGTCTCCAATGACTTGCACTTCTTACTCCCAGGCATGGTCATAACTCACCCCCGAGTGCTAATCTGTGACAACTCCCTGGTTAATCACAAAACACTTCTAAAGCACAGCATCTACCACATAGTTACCACTCACAAAAATGGTGACATCACTATGGGCTCTTACAGAGAGGCCAATTCTCTCTGGGACACAGTCCAGCCAGGTGCCTGTATCGGAACAACCCTCAGGCGTTGGCCGAGCCTGCGAAGGTCTCACCTCTAGCCCATAGAGAAGATCAGAGGGTGGGCAGCTTGGGCGAACAGGCTCCCCTGCCATAGGTGCACTGGGTGACTTCACCATCATGAAGCTATCGCTCCGAGTGGGTGCAGAAGCCAATGGTGTACAGCCATGAGAGTGGCCACCCACATCAACAAACTTGATAGGATCATCTGACCCTAGCTGGATTCGGAGGATCCCATTGGAAGGAGGAAGCCCCTCCCTCCTTCGAGATCGGGTGAGACAGGCACAGGTGCCAGCAGGAAAGCAGGTCACTCCACATGCAGCCCCACGCAGACACTTAGAGAGTAGTGCCACGAAGGAGCCAAAGGAGACAAAGCAAATTGCCACAAGGGACACAGCCAAGTAGAGGGTCAGGCGGGATTCTCCTTCCCTTGGAGCTGAAGACTCTCGAAGATCAGGGACAACTGGATGAGTGTCTTCCTCTAAGGACACTAGGAGAGTAACAGAGGTAGAGAGTGGTGGGTTACCACTATCCTTTACCACAATGACCAGCTTCTGTGGTGGGAGATCAGCTGGGATGGGAACTGCCGTCCGCACCTCCCCAGCATAGCGAGAGACTGCAAACAGGCTGGGGTCTGGGGCTTCCAGGAGCTGATAGGAAACCCAAGCGTTGTAACCTGAGTCCAAGTCCACAGCAGTCACCTTTGTGACTAGGTGTCCAGCACCAACTGATGGAGGCAGTGCTTGGGGACATAAGGAACCAGGCCGGGCCCGAGGGCGGAGCACAGCTGGGGCATTGTCATTGAGGTCCAGCACAAAGAGACGAACTGTCACAGTGCTGCTAAGGGGTGGGTTGCCTCGATCCCGGGCCTGTACCTCGAACTGCAGTGTCTGCGTTTGCTCATAGTCAAATGATCGAGTAGCATGAACAGCTCCTGTCTGGGGGTTCAGAGAGATGAAGGAGGAAGCAGATACATCTCGGTTTCTGGGCTCCAGGAGAGAGTAGGAGATAAGCGCATTCAAGCCAGAGTCTGGGTCAGAAGCTGCAAGGGAGCAAAGCAGGTCCCCTGGGCGATTGTTCTCAGGAACAAACACCTCATGTGACCTCTGGAAGAAAGAAGGTGGGTTATCATTCACATCTGAGATATTGAGGAAAATCGTCCTGTGGGTACTCAGAGGAGGGTTCCCAGCATCAGAAGCAGTGACCATGATGTCATAGCTGGATTTGACCTCACGGTCCAAGGTTCCAGCAGTCACTAGAGAGAACTGGTTTCTAAAGGCAGACTTCAGGGCAAATGGCAAGTGGTCGGGAATTCGGAGGCTCACATCTCCATTTGAACCCGAGTCAGGGTCCTGAACACTGATGAGTGCCACCACGGTGCCAGGTTCTGCATTCTCTGGGAGAGTCCCAAGCTCTGAGGTCACTGTGATGTGGGGGGCGTTGTCATTTACATCCAGGAGATCCACCCGAAGGCTGCAATGCTGCTCCATGGCTGGAGACCCCCCATCACGAGCCCTCACATCAAATTCATAGTAATTCTCACTCTCAAAATCTAAGGGCCCCTGAAGGGTAAGTTTTCCAGTAGTGGGGTGCAGGCTGAAGAGGTTTCTCACACGATCAGGGGTGTGACCACTGAAGGAAAAGGTGACGTTACCGCTGGGACCCAGGTCCGGGTCAGAGGCATTGAGCTGGATGAGCACCATGCCGGCTGGAGCGCTCTCCAACACGCTAATCCTATAGCTAGTTTGCTGGAAGGCCGGGGCGTTGTCGTTCACATCCAGAACCGATACCCGGAGCTCCGCTGTGCCGGACTTCGGAGGATTCCCTCCATCCACAGCAGTCAGCACCAGGCGGTAGTCTGATTGCTTCTCCCGATCTAAAGGTTTCTCCAGGAGCAGCTCTGGGACCAGGCTGCCGTCGCTGCGCTTCTTGACATCCAGTGCGAAGTGTTCGTTGGAGCTCAGTCTATAGCTGCTGATGGAGTTGCTCCCCACATCTGCATCCTGAGCCTTTTCCAAAGGGAAACGCTGTCCTGGAGGAGCTGCCTCCCCAATTTCCAAGTCCAGCTGCTGCCGAGGAAATCGGGGGGCGTGATCATTCACATCTACGATTTCTACCTCTGCTCGGTACATCTCCAAAGGCCCTTCGGTTACAAACTCCAGAGGCACGATGCAGCTGGCACTAAGCCCACACAGTGCTTCTCGATCGATTGGATTCTTGATGAGCAGGGCTCCACTGTCCAAATCCACACGGAAGTGTCTTTGGTTCACCTCTCCAGCGACCTGCAGCCTGCGAGCTGACAGACTCTCTGTATCCAGCAGGAAATCTTGGGCGACATTCCCTACAAAAGTCCCTTCCTGAGACTCCTCTGGGACTGGGTAGCGGATCTGCCCACAAACATAACCCAGGTGGCAAAAGAGGAACAAAAGGGTAGCTCCCCGCCAGATCTCTACCCAGCCTCTCACCTTGCGGAGCATTGCTGCCTCCAGCCAGCTGTCTACCTACTGCCTCTGAAGCCGAAGAAGGCGACCCGCCCCAAACGGCCACAGCAGCTGGAGACACCGATCTCCCTTTCCCCGCGCCAGTTCTGGCGCGGCTCGGCCGGCGCTGCAAGGGTTACGCGCCGTTTTTTGCTTGTGGCGGGGTAGATTTGTCTGCCTTTCACCACCCGATTGGCAGACAGCGGTTCCTGGGCTCAGCCAATAGGCTGAGCAGAGAACGTCCCAATAGCAGCAGGGTTAATGCGTCGCAGCATTGGAAAAATAAAAAAAGGAAAGAAAACCCTGTCTTTTCTCCTTCCTCCCGCTCAAACGGCATTTCTTTCCATGGGTTATTACCTCTGTGTAGAAGCAGACTACATATATGTTTCTGTGGGGTTTGTTTCCCCTAACAGACCAACTTCCCCCACCCCTTTTTGGTTGGGAAAACACAACAGATGAGCCCTAGCAACCAGCCCAGAGAGGAGTAGCCATTTGAGACTGGTCACTTTATTCAAGCGAGTATTGTCATCAACCAATATTCTAAATGAGTAGTTTCTGCCTCAGTCTGACTGTATTAGAACAACAGCTAATTAGAAGCACTGCCATATATTTCAGAAATCTGCCTCTCTGCAGCATATTCAGAAACACGTATCTATCTTTGCAGAAAGAGGTTTACACATTAGACAATTCCATTTATGCAGCGCACGTTTTTATCGTAACTGGAGGCGTAGCGGAAACCAAGCCTCTCTTATTCAGACACTTGCTAATGATATATTAAAATACCATTCATTGACTTCAAAGACAGTAAGACAGTATGGATGGAGATGAAGTGGGGTAGAGGATGCCAAGAGAGAGAGAGGTTCCAAATCAGTGAAGAATCAGTGCGTCTGGCAGGCACTAATGACTGGATCCCATTACCTGGCAGAATGCTAATGTTCACAGATTTAACAGCTTCCTTGAATGATTGTGATCAGTTGTAGGCATTGTGCCTACAATGCCCCTTTATTGACACCACAGCACTCTTGATATGTTGTTAATTACCAACAGAGACCTTTTTAAAGGCATACATTTTTCACTTAGCCCCATGGGGGCCTCTTAGAACTGGAGCCTTGATCTCACCCCAACCTTTCCCCTATCACCCTTCCAGGAGCCTGGCTACTACCTTGCACAAGCTCAGTAGTAACACAGTTCATTTCACACTGTAGGTACCTGCAAGCTGTAATCTGAGTGGCAAACACATTGGAGCACATCAAAAAAGAAAAATTCAACTGATCTGGACATGAGATTTCTGAACTCATCCAAATCCTCACTGTCAAAGCCAGCAACAAAACTTGGGATTCTTATCCTAATCTTTGACCTTCAGGACTATCTTTATAGCTATGATGAGAGGTCAATGACAAACATTCTGGTCTCAAAAGGGTGGATCTGACTTTCTGTGTTCTTTTTTCATAAAACTCCTAAGCATACCTCCATGGAAATGACACAGAGATATAAATTAGCCTGACTGACTGACTAGGTTTTTATGCCAGAACCCATTGTCTCAGTGGATGAAACACCATCATCCATCCAGCTGTCATAGTCAAAATCCTGGAGTTACTCTTGACTCATTTCTCTCCCACACTCCCTATATTATGTCCTTCAACAAGTCCTGATGATTTTACTATAGTTATTTCCAACCCATTCACATGGTTACTGTGTTGGCTTAAGCATTATCAATCTTCTCAAATATTGCAATAGCCTTCTAACTGCTCTGTTTGCCTCCAGTCTCAATATACCTAATCCATTTCACTATGGCGAACTGCAAGGTTGGTGGTTCAAGCTCACCAGCCACTCATCGGAAACCCTATACAGGGTGGCTGTGGGTTGGCACCGACTCGACGGCACTTAACAACAACAACAACCAGAGTAATCTCTCTAACACACATGTACACACACAACAATGATGACATCATATGTATATCAGTTCAAAATTCTGCAGTGACAATCATCTATGCAGCATAAAATCAATACTCCTTAGCATGGCCTAAAGGTTATTCAGGATCTAACGCCTACTTAACTTGCTTCACTTCATCTCCTGCAAAGACACTTCTACTTTATGGTTCAGAAACATGAAATTTTCTTCAATGCCCCTTTTCTGCTCCCTTTCTCCATTTACTATTTGATAAACTGCTACTCAACTTATCATCATCATCTCTGTGAAGTTTTCCTTGGCTCCTCAAGTTTGACTTAGATGTTGCTTGCTCCTTGTATATGCTGACATCTATTATAATTTTTTTGGTATGGTTGTCTCCCATGGTACATTGTGTATTGTGACAAGTATCATTTTGTCTTTTATAAGTGACAAGTGCACTGTCTAGTACTTAAGGGTGCTCAATAAATGCAGAGCTATTGACATGTTCATTTATTAGTTCAACAAACATATACTCAACATTTGCTATATAAATACACTTAATATGTGTATTAGGTTTCACTCTCTTAGCATCATTGCCAAGTCAGTATTACCTTTATTTTATAGATGAGGAAACAGGAGTTTGGAGAGGTTAAATGACTCTCTAAAACTACACATCTAGCATGTGCAGTAAGTAGACACCCACTCCCAGTCAGACAGTAAATAAAGCATTTTTCTATAACATCTTAAATGATTTTTCTAACTTTGTCATTTCTATAACCATAAATGGACCCTCTACCAATATTTTTGATATCCTAAGATATTACCTTATAGGTCTCAATCTCTTATATTTGCAAGTTCACACCAAAATGAACAGGCACACAGCTATTTTACTAGAATCACATCATCATAAAGCCTCAATTCTATTCAAAAAGTTTCTGGAAAAAATGGCATTAGAAAATAAAGAAGCTCCCCCATGCATTCTATACTTGACCTTTCTGTGTGATTTCCCCTTACTTAGATTTTAAAACAGTCTTATTGAGATGGTTGTTGTTTTTTAATTCACATGCCATGTAAGCCACCCATGTAAAGTTTACATTTTACTGTTTTTTAAAAAGTATATTCAGAGTTATGTAAACACCACCAAAATCTAATTATAGAACATTCTTATCACCTCAAAAAGAAATGAACTCCATAACTATTAGTTAGTTACTCAGGCGCTCGGGGTTTAGGAAGATTTTTTCCTCTGATGATTGAAATACCATTTTATATCTGCTCTACAATGCTCTACTAGAGCTAGTCTTATAAGGCTTTAAAGATGGCAAATGACATACAATGTTCTTTAAACTGAGCCTGGTTCAATAAAGTTGGTTCTTGGTTCCGTGTACACCAGAATACCACTTGGCTTCATAAAGATGATAACCAATAGATTGGCAGGTTCTAGGGCAGTCATTTTCTTACTTGTCTGCATATTGGAATCACCTGGAAATCTTTAAAAGCTACTGGTATCCATGCCCCACTGCCAGAGATTGTACTTTCTGGGGTATGGCCTGGACATAAAAATATTTTAAAGGTCCTGGGTGACTCTAGTGTGCAATCAAGTTTGAGAAAATTGTTCTAGAGAAAATGGCAGTTAACTTTCCAGGTTGGCCAGAGAGCAGCAACTGTTTCTCTCTTGCTTTTGTACTTGGTCATTTTTGGCTGTTCCCAGATTTGCTAACTTTCAAGGCATGTTTAAGATTTTTGGGTGGATGAAGAACTAACAAACATAATAATAGTAATAGCTAATACTTACTGAACACATATCACATTTTCCCATGAAAACAGATTTAGAAAGACTAAGTAACTTGCCAAGGGTTTCTAGTTAAGAAGTGGTAGAGCTTCAATGCAAAATCCAAGAGTTGATTAAAGTAGTATTTCCCACCAGTAATAAAATAACAATGGTTCTTCCACAATTGGAAGTGTATGTAAGTCTAGACTTGTAATAATCTGTACATCATCCTGAATGAATGAATGAATGCTTTACTTTTCTAAAGATAGGAATTTACCTGCTGCTCATATTATGTGTATAGCTAGAGAAATAACTGCTGGGAGGATAGAGAATGACAGTGGGGTACAAAAGGACTTTCATTTTTTACATTATTTTGGATTGTTTGAGTTTATTTTCATAATCAATTATTTTATAATCAACAGTGGTTATTTTTGGGTTTGGAGATTACCGAATTAAATTTTTTTCTTTATACTTTCCAAACTTTTCCTCAATGTACATGCATTACTGTTATCACTTAAATATATTTTGTAAGCAATGTGGCACATCATTTCTAGTAGTGTGGTTGAAATAAAATTTAAGAAATGCCTAGAATTTTCTTTCGTAGAAAGTTGTCTGAGAATGGTACACAGGATCTGTGTAGCCAAAGGAAAAATCAAAAGCAAACTATTATTGTTCAATGAAGATGTGCCAATCATTTGAAAGAAAGAGGTAGTTTGTATGTTCCTAGTGGTTGCCACTGACTAGAGGTACCCAGTAGTTTGTTCACAATGCAAATGACACCTGCTTAATAATCTCTGAGTGCTGAGATCTTGAGTTATACCTTACTAGTCCCTTAGCAAGATTGGTTAGTTTTAATGGTGTATGCTGATGGTTGGTACTGGATTAACTCCAATTTGAAATAAGATCATAACCAACACTAACCAAGCCATCCTTCTCACAAAGGAGAAATTTGATCCCAAGAGGACCAAGTAAAAGCATGGCTGCATCATCAGAAGACATCATTTTAAAAAGGACCCCAAGGTTTTCTTACTAAAAGAAATATTCTATGATGACTACCAGGAGTGGGAGGGAAGGGAAAATTATTAAGGGTAGAGGATAGACACATGTTAACTTGGGTGGTAGGAAGGACAGTATACAAGAGAGAGGTTTGCACAAGAAAGATGAAGGGAATGGAAGACACAGGAAGGAGTGCAAGAGTGAATAGAGGTAAATACTGTTAACTGATCATACAAGGAAGGAATTGCAATCATTTCAATGACAGGAAGTGTATGATTTGTTGAATATGGGACTGTTCTGTAAACCTTCATTCATGGTGCAGACATCAAAAAGCATTAATGCAGTTGAGGGCTGACTTGCCCTTACCTGTCCTGGAGGGGCGCTCTCTGCACCCAACACCTGCCTATAAAACACTGGATCGCAGCTCCTCAGTGTGTTTTGGCGACTGGCCAGTGGGCTGGAAGCATTGGGTTTCTTCAGCAGGGGGTCACTGCGGCGGGAATCTGTGGTGAGGTACACCTGATGGTAGAGGTGAGGTGGTATCAGGCCTCCGCGCACTGCATCCACGTGCAAGGAGGGCCCTGGTGTTCGGTACAAGGAGCTCACGGGGCCTCGGTATAGGTCCCTGGACTGCTTCCACTTGTAAACTTTGAATATGATCATTCCCAAGACCGTGACTGCAAACCCCACGGAGACCAGGATTAGAGCGAGAAGTAGATAAAAGGTGAGATTTTTATTCTGCTCCCTTGGGTCAGAGCCCGAGGGGAACTCCGCCCGAGCCTCTGGAGATTCCTCCGTTACTGACACAGTCAAGGTAGCGGTGGTGGACAGTGATGGCTCCCCATTGTCTGTGATCAAGACCGTGAGAGTTTGCTTGGGCAAATCTGTGTCCTGGACTGGGCGTGCAGTGCTGACTTGACCCGTGTGAAGCCCCACAGCAAAAAGGCTCTGGTTGGGGGCTCCCAAGAGACTGTAGGAAAGCCAGGCATTGTGCCCTGCATCCGCGTCCCAGCCTACCACCCGTGTAACCATGTGACCTGCAGCGGTTCCTCGAGGCAGCATCTCTACGGAGCTCCTGCCTGGTCGGGGGTATAGGATTTGAGGGGCATTATCATTGCGGTCCGTGACAAATATGTTTACACTGATGTTGGTGGTCAGGATTGGGAAACCGCCATCGCTGATGTGAGCTGTTAATTGGAACTCTCGTCGATCCTCGTAGTCCAGGGGCACTAAGGATGTCACAACGCCACTGTCACGATTTATCGTGAAATAGCGATCCACTAGCCCTGTCTCAACTCCTTGCTCCAGCAGAAAGAAAGAAAGGTGAGCATTCTGTGGGGCATCTGGGTCCCAGACACTTAGATTTAGTATGGGAACCCCAGGGAGGTTATTTTCCTCAACATAAACGTCATAGGAAGATTGAGCAGATTGTGGAGGGTTGTCGTTTATGTCGGACACTTGGACCCGCAGTGTCGTTAGGGCTGAGAGGGAAGGGACTCCTGCGTCTCGAGCAGTGATGCTGAGGTTGTATTCTGCCATGGTCTCCCGATCCAAAGCTGCACTGGTTTTCAGAGTGAAGTAATTCTGGAGGGAAGAAGTAAGGCTGAAGGGGAGACCTGCTGGTACCTCACAAGTCACCAGCCCGTTCTCCCCAGCATCCAGATCGGTCACACTGAGCAAAGCGATGACAGTTCCTAGAGGGGCATCTTCGGGAAGTGGACTGTACACGGAGGTGACTGTGATTTCTGGGGCATTGTCATTCACGTCCTCAACCTCTACCAAAACTTTGCAATGTGCTCCTTCGGGATTGGCGCCTTTGTCTTTGGCCTGGATGTAAATCTCGTGGAGTTTCGTGTCTTCAAAATCCAGTTGGCCCTTGATTGTCAGTACCCCGGTTACAAGGTCTAAGGCGAATAGTTCCTGCACCCCAGCACGGTTGTGGCTGCCGAAGGAGTAAATAATCTCACCGTTGGGGCCTTCATCCAGATCCGTCGCATGGACTTGCACCACGCGAGTGCCAGGGGGTGAATCCTCTGGAACCCGCGCCCGATACAAGGACTGGTTGAAGGTGGGGGCATTGTCATTCGCGTCTAATACAGTGATGAGAATGGGAAGGCTGGAGGAGCGAGCTGGGGTCCCTCCGTCCAAAGCCGTCAGCACCAGCTGGATACTTGATTCTCGCTCCCAATCCAGGGCGCGCTCCAGCACCAGTTCCGCGTACTTTGTGTTATCCTCCCGCGTCTGCACTCGCAGCGCAAAGTATTCGTTTGGGCTCAGCTCATAGGTTTGTAAAGAGTTGCTGCCCACATCGGGATCGTGCGCGCTCTCGAGCGGAAAGCGCGTCCCCGGCGTCACGGCCTCGCTAATCTCCAATTTCATTTCCCGGGTAGGGAAAGAGGGATTGTTATCGTTAATGTCCAGGATCACCACTTCCGCTCTGAACAACTCCAGAGGTCTCTCCACTATCAACTCCAGAATTACAGTGCAGGAGGGCAGTGTACCACACAGCTCCTCTCGATCCAGGCGGTCATTCACGAACATCTCTCCGGTCTCCCAGTTCACCTCAAAGAATTTTCTGCTAGCTTGAGACACCACCGGGCGCTTGCCGGCTGACAGGCTGCGGAGATCCAAGCCCAAGTCCGACACCACGTTGCCCACTGTGAAACCCTTCTCTCTTTCCTCCAAGATCTCATAGCGAATGACGGCGGAAGCCTTGTGCAAGACACCAAGCAGGAACAAAACTCCCACCACTCTCCCGGTGCTTACCAGTCCGCTCCTCCAGGCCTCTGGGACCATCTCACTCAAAAGCTGCTCTTCTCAGTGGGGTCCAGATCGTCCGGTCTATTTCGCGGAGAAACTTTAGCGGGTTAGCGCTTGGGCGCTGGGCGCCGAGTCGGACATGGCTTTATGGATGCCGTTGATTTGCTCGCCGGTTGTTCAGTCTCTGTCTCATCCCGGGGCTCCGAAAGGGGACGGGCCGGGGCCAGATCTCCATCGTCTTCATTGGACGACAGCGGCACACACAGTCCCAGCCAATAATTGCACGAAGAATGCGCTAGCGCCGGCTTTCAGAGCGGGACTCACGCTAGCGCCAGGAACTTCACTTTCCTTTGGTTCCCTTCCAGAGTTTTCGGCCAGAAGTATCTTGGCAGTATCAGTATATCGGAATTTTACCTTAACCTGGAAAGCCAACTGAGATGAAGCTGGCCACTCTGCAAATCTCAAGCCTTATTAAACGCTTCAACTTCAAGAAGAGGAATCAAACCAAACCGACACTGTCTAGGGGGAAAACGTACAAACATTTCAGTTGCTGGAAGACTGGGTAAAGTGATATCTAAGCCAGACCCTACGTGTAAGGAGGCGTTTAGCCCTTCTATGGAGATTTGCTATCAATTTGTTTCTAATTTTGCCTCTTACAAAATGAATCTGTACATTTTGCTGTCGTTTCCTCAATAGAGCAGGTCAATTATGCGTTTGGTTTAATTCTTTCTTATTAAATTAAATATATAATTCAGATTTAATGGCTTAAACTGGATGTTGTCTATCTCCCATTTTTTAAGAACCGGAGAGTAATGTGAAAGTTTCCTATTCTGTCTTCCTCACAGAGCATCATCTCAATCAAAAGCACCATGTCAAACGTCTTCCTTTCTTGGCCAGTGCTTTCTCCAAGATCCTGGAGAAATTGTATTGCTAATAAAGGTTAACATCCCCCCCCCCCAAAAAAAAAAGAAAAACAGCCAATTTGCTATTTAGAACCTTTATAAAATGAAAAAAAAATGATAGCAAAAATGAAGCGTTTAGAGGAATACGAAGCCTTTAGCTACAGAAGAAAAATCTCAGTCTTTCTGCATCTAGGACCGTAGTTACCAAACAAAATAGCAGTAACTAGCACAAAGAATAAGAGAGTCTACTAGGAAATAAACCAGAGCTAGTTGCAAGTCTTTTAATAAGAAACTAACTTCTTAGATCCCTGGAGCTCTATTCTATTAGATGAATAAGACAGGTAAAGTGCCTGGCAGAGAGTAAGTCTCAGTTAATGATGCAAATCACCCTATTATATAATAGATGTAAAGTTTCAGAGCCTCAAACTATTTCTGTAAACTTGTCTTGCTCATATTTTTTATTGTATGTAGTCTTTTCTGAAGTATAACTGTACCTTGAACACAAGCACGTTGGTAGGCAGATAGGTTAGATTTGTAGATAGGAAATAGGTCTTTTTAGCATACTTACTGAAGTCATAAAAAGTCTCATATGACCTGCCTCTACATACCTCACTAATTAATCTCTTAAACCCCCAGTTTAATATATTCAAGTTTGACAACTGGTCAGACCACCAAGAAAGCTGATAAAGAATAAAGAATATGCTTTAAATAAAAAATATAATATATATATATATATTTCTATGTATGGAATATAGCTGAATTACCTGCTATTCAAAGTGTGAGAGCCAAGGACCACTGGTATACAGTCAGGGAACTTGTTAAAAATGCAGAAGTACCCTATTCTATATCTGCTGTACCAGAATCTTCATTTTAACAAAACACCTGGTGATATTGTTTTCTCCATTCACTATCACTTAGTTTACAATCTTGTTTTTGCAAACCAACTTCTAAAAATTTAAGTAATTTTCCTATTAATAAGGCTGAAAATTTTTGTTTGTTTTAAAAAAAAATTGTGTTGTGATCTGGGCAAAAGTTTACAGAGCAAATTAGTTTTCCATTCAACAATTTATTCACATTTTGTTTTGTGGCATTAGCTGCAATCCCCTCAATGTAACAGTACTTTTCCTACTCTTCTCAGGATTCCCTGTTTCCATTCACTCATCTTTCCAGTCCCTTCCTGCCTTCTGAACTTTGCTTTTGAGCAAAAACAAATTGCCCTTTTGATCTCTTACAGTTCTGAGGAGTAGATTCCTCATAGGTGGTATTGTTCACTTTGTAGGTTTTTCTACTGTTCAACTGAAAGTTCAGTTCCAAGAGTGGGTTCACCTAGGACCATCAAGGGAGAAGAGCATGAGTGGAATGTGGAACCCAATCCAGAAAACAGTGAAACCAAAGATGGAGGCAAAGATGAGGACATGGAGAGAGAGAGCAGCTGAGGACTCTAGACTCATGGAAAGAGAAAGACTGTGTGCTAGTGGCCAGGAGGCAGGCTTGCTGAATGTGCCCTTTGGTTGTTTAAATTATTATATATTCCTGAGCATTTTTGTGTACATTCTCGCTCCTCAAAAAAAAATCCAGAAAGAGAGGGAGAGAGAATAGAAGCAAATACTATTGAATGATGATGCATGGAAGAGACTTATCATTGCAATGAACTGATGTTCTCCCATATAAACAATTACTCAATTCTCAATAAAAACCTTAAAAAGATAGGTTCAGTTTCAGGCTTGAAGGGTGTCTAAACCCCATAGTCTCGGGGTTTCCAGAGACCAATGAGAGGTCTTTTTTATGAATTTGAATTTTTCTCCTACTTACTGTGATTCTGATTAGAGCAGTCAGTAGTGGCAGTTAATACATGTCCAAGAAATCCTGGTATGGCACCGTAGGATGAGCACCAGACTGCTAACTACAAGGTCGGCAGTTCAAACCACCAGCCACTCCTCGGAAACCTATACAGGGTCACTATGAATCAGAACGGACTCAATGGCACTTACCAATAACAACTATTTAGTAATTGATTCCCCTCCCTCTATCCCTGGTAATCATCTAAGAATGTATCTTATGGTGTATAAACATATTCTTGACTTTTTTTTTTTTTCATTTTTCTAAACAGCTTTATTAAGGTACAATTTATATACCGTAAAATTCATCTATTATTAGTGGATAGTTTTTAGTACGGTTGTACAACCATTATCACAATCTAATTAACAAAGTAATTTTTATAAAAAGCAAGAAAATGATTTTTGTAAAAGGTTTTAAAACTGAAGTTACTTACATCAATGAAATGAAATAGAACACTCTCCACAATTATAGCCAACTATGAATGGGAAGTTTGTGAAAAATGCACCATAACTAATTGTTATAGAAAGATGAATTATTAAATAAATGAAAATATTTTATCAGGAGCATATTTGTCTTCAAGAAACAAAAATCCTATAGCAATGACTTCACTAAGTGGGGGGTGGTGCTGGTGGTGGTGTCTTTTTTTACTGTAATAAAACATCCCAGGGTACATATTCCAGAATTGGTGTGGCAATTGATGTAATTGGTTTGACGATTACATCAAGGACTGAAGCTCCTTGTGTCGTTCCCCTCTGCTATTGTTAGTGAGTGGATTGCATCCTGATTGTCTCATGATAGTTATGTTACCTCCAGATACTGCATCTGTGTTCTAAGCGTGAAGAAAGGTAAAAGTTAAGGGGTCAAAAGGAGCACCTTCTTCAAAGTTGCTCTTCTTGAAATTTCTTTTTTGTGAAAGTTGTTGCATAATTTCTTGACTTTTTATAATGATGGTCTCATACAATATTTTTTTTGTGTGTGTAATTGATTTACTTCACTTAGTAGAACGTTCTCCAGGTTCATCCAAGTTGTGAGATGCTCTGCAGATTCATCATTATTCTTTACATTGCATAGTATTCTACCTTAGTTTGTTTATTGATTCATCCATTGATGGGCACCTACATTGTTTCCATATTTTTGCTGCTGTGAATAAAGCTGTGATGAACATGGGTATGCATATATCTATTTGTGTCATATCTCTTATTTCTCTAGGATATATGCTTAATAGTGGGATTGTTGAATCATATGGTATCTCTATTTCTAATTTTTAAAGTAAGTGTCATAACATTTTCCACAGTAGTTGTACCATTATACAACCCTGCCAGCAGTGTATGAAGGTGCCAATATCCTCATTCCTTCCTGGTATTTGTTGTTTTCTATTTTTTAAATCATTGGTATTTTTGCTAGGATGATGTGATATTTAATTTGAGTTATATATCTCTAATGGCTAATGATTGTGAGTATCTCTTCATATATTTGTTGGTCATCTGAATGTGTCTCCTTTGATTGTCTGCTCATGTCCTTTGCCAATTTGAAAATTAGATTTTTGCTGTTGAGGTTGAGGTTTTGAAGTATTCTATAAATTATAGAGATTATTCCCTTGCCAGATATATCATTGCCTTAAAAAGTCCTTCATACCTGTCTAGGGTCAATCCTTGCTCCTACCCCCAGTTGTCTTCTACTTGTGGTTAAGTGCTGTCGGTCGAGTAGAGCTCAACTCATAGTAACCCTGCATAGAGTTTCTGAGGCTTTAAATCTTTGTGGGAGCAGAAAGCCTCATCTTTCTCCCTCAGAGTGACTGGAGGGCTCGAATTGTGGCCCTTGTGAGCCTCGTTGTTGTCAAGTGTTGTCAAGTTGGTTCCAATTCATAGCGATCCTGCATAGGGTTTCTTAGGAGCAGCTGCTAAGTTTGAACCTCTGACCTTACAGTTCAAACCAACCTTGGGGTCCAGTGATTATCTTACAGGTCTTATCTACAGGTACCAAGTCAATGGCAACTAATAACAACAACAGTGTAATGTCTGACTTCTTTCACTTAGAAAGCTGTCAAATCCCAGTTTTTAAACATATTCTCAAATCTGTTCTTTCTCCAATCTTTCTCAAGTTGTAAATGGCACTTCCATCTAACTAGTTAATCAAGTAAAAAATGCTGAGAAGCCATTCTCAACATCTTCTGCATGCTCATATCCTAATTATTACTAAATTAATAATTAATGCTTGTAGTTGTTGTTAAGTGTCATCGAGTCAGTACGAACTCATAGCAACCCTGTGCACAACAGAACAAAATACTGCCCGGGCCTGGGCCAACCTCACAATTGTTGCCATGCTTGAGCCCATAGATGCTGCCACTTTGCCAATCCATCTTGCTGGGGGTCTTCCTCTTTTTCTCTGACCCTCCACCTTACCAAACATGATATCCTTTTCCAGTGACTGTCCCTCCTGACAATATGTCCAAAGTATGAGAGACGAAGTGTGGCCATCCTGGCCTCCAAGCTGCACTTCTTCCAACACAGATCTTTTGGTTCTTTTGGCAACCCATGGTACTTTCAATATTCTCCTCTAACACC